AGTTTTTTTATATACTCTCACATTGTTTAATAGGACAGAAAGACTTCAACTGATAATCTATTGTTTATCTGCAGAAAATTCGTTTGAATCATAAAAGTTGCAAGAGAAAATGAAAGCAAAGTGTGCTAGATTCATGGTTTTTACAGCATTCATACTCCTACTTCGAATGTTTTCTCTGGCTGGTAAGATTCTTCTCATGCTTTCCCTACTTTCTCTTTTCTAAATTCAACGCCTTGTTTAAAAATTAATTTTTAATTTTGTTACAAGTATCTGGTTTTGTCAACTTTCGGTTCTTAATTATTATTAATTTAATTATTATAATTGTAGTATTTTAATATTAAAAATATAAAATAAACAAAAATAAAAATATTATAATTTATTTTATATTTCAATATAATATATAAATTTTACAAGTGCAAAACGCGCACGTATTTATTATGGATCAGAAGGAAATATAACCTTCCATCTCCAGCAAAAGTGATACAATTATGTCAAGAAAACAATATATTTTTTCTTAGATTAAAAGAACCAAATATTGAAATATTTGATGCCTTGAGTGAATTGGGAATTCTTGTTGCTGTTGGTCCTAAAAATGGAGACTTGCCAGGTCTTGCACTAAGCTCGGAAGCGGCCTTTGGCTGGGTGAATATGTTCATCGGTTCATACGTTGATTCTGTTTTCTTCAAATGAATCATAGTAGGTGATGAAGAAATTTTAGGAGAAAATGGTATCTACGTTAGAGGCGCAATGATAAATATCAGAAACCACGTTAGCAAATTAGCAGATAAGGTATTGGTCACAACACTTCTTCCTCCCAATGCTCTTAGTGTTTCTTTTCCTCCGTCAGCTGGGGATTTTTCTGAAAAAATTAAACAAAACATGACTGAAATTGCGGAATTTTTAGCCTCTCATGGTAAACATATTTCCGTATTTTACCTGTGCTACCAACTTAAGTAACATTTTGATCGATCATGTTATGTTCAATTCCAGTAAAGCAATTCTGCAAGACGGTATTTTTAGCTACTACAATCATTTCGATTTTATGGTTGATACATATAGTACAGCACTTGAGAAGATTGATTATGATGATGTAAAAATTTTAATTGGCGGAACGGGATGGCCAACTCATGGAAACCCTCCTTTTACTGGTATACAAAATGCGCAAACATATAACAATAGAGTTTATGATCATGTGAGAAGAAATGGGACGCCAGGAAGGCCAATCTTTCTTATGAACATATTTTTCTATGAAATGTTTAACGAGGACATGAAACCAAGTCGTGAAGAGCAGAGCTTTGGATTCTTCTATGAAAATACGACACCCGTGTATTCTTTCTGGTGATTTTTTCTTTTTAATTTTTGAATAGTTGTTTCTGTTGGTGATTAGCAATAATATGACTAGTTTTTCTATGTCTCTTGTCCTCTATCCTCTAGAAAAGGATTGAAGCAAAATATTTAGCCACCCCCGACAATCGAAGTCTCAAACCTTGAAAAAAGGCTCAACCAAAAACCCTAAAGAAGAAAGAACACTTTAGATGTAATCTGTACAATGGTGTGCTAAATTGGAAATTTCCATCTGTTGTAAACTTTACAATATAATAAAATGAATTTACAAGAATAAGCAATGGTATATAAATAAATATTGCATTTTGTTATGTATAATAAATTGACTGTTGGATTTGATTTTTTTTTATCTTCTCTTCGTCATAATTTTAAATTGATTAAAATGTCATATTTAGTTATGGTACGAGAATATTTAAGATAAAATTTCTAAATTTTTAAAATTCTAATTTACTGTTAGAATTAAAAACGATTATTAACAAAAACTTAAAAAGATGAAATTACACCCATGTAAAAGTATCACCTGTACAAAGATATCTCTACATACAAAATATGAAAATACGATTTGAAGCACTTGAAATGCTTAGAAATAACTATAAATACTAAAACTAAAAACAACAATCAATATCAAAAACTGTGATAAATGCTCTAAGTATAGTTAGTCCACACTGAGACTAGGCTTTGATTAAGCAAGTTCCAATATACTTCTAACATCTAAAGATAAACAAATAATAACATTTACATTTTCTATTTGAAGAACCCTTTAAAGGTTTTGAAGAGTGTGAAAATTTTTATTGATTTGGTTGTCAAGTTCGATTTTTAAATTGAAAATGAGTATCTTTTTAAGTACTTAAATTTATCCAACTTAGTTGCTAGTGTATGTAGCTTTGTTAATTCCACTTGTACCTTTTATTAATGTATTGATTAGTTAACAAAATCATAAATTTGATATAATTGGGATGATATTAAATCAATCAATTTAAAGGACCAAGTATAAGAAGGACATTAATAAAAAAAAAAGTAATTGCATTTTTATTCAACCCAGAGCTTCCCTTTCATTTTTCTTCAACCCAGTTTCATCCTTTATATTTATTGTCTAAATTCAAATAATTTTAAAATATAGTGGATTAATATTATGATTATTTAATAAAATTAATAGTTCTAAGAATTATAAACAATTAACTAATTCTTTTTCCGACATTTAAGTTGAATTCACTGAAAAAAAATATTAAAGAAAATGGAAGAAAATGATTTGAAAAGATAAAAAAGAAAAAGGAAGCGTATGAAAATTTATGTGATTAGAAGCCAATTTTTGAACAAGACAAATTTCATATTTTATCATTGATCTGATTTTTTGGCTGAAATTTCGATGTGGTGACGATATTTAAGAAAGAGGATTAACAGGGAGGTGGGACAAGAGAGTTCCATCTTCTATTTTTCTTCTTCATCTTCTCGGCGGAGACACCAGATCTCCTGCATCATCGTCTTCCTCTACCACCACGCTCAGCTTTTCCTCACATTCCGGCTTATCTGCAGAAAGTTTGTTTGAACCAGAAAAGTTGCAAGAGAAAATGGAGGCAAAGCGTGCTAGATTCATGGTTTTTACGACATTCATACTCCTAGTTCAAATGTTCTCTGGTTGGTAAGATTCTTCTCATGCTTTCCCTACACCTTGTCATTTTAAATTCTAAAAGAAATATATGCTTATTGGTGTAATTAGATTAAGTGAAAATAAATCAAGTTTTATTTGAAAAATTAATAATAATATAAGTTATTTGTATCCTAATATAACTTATAAATATTACAGGTGCACAACTGACAGGTGTTTACTATGGATTAAGTGGAAATAACCTTCCATCTCCAAAAGAAGCGATAAACTTTTGCAAGCAAAAGGGAATACAAGCTCTTAGATTAAAAGAACCAAACACTGAAATATATGATGCGCTGATTGGAACGGGAATCCTTGTTGCTGTTGGTCCTAAAAATAGTGACTTGCCAGGCCTTGCACTAAGCAAGGAAGCAGCTATCGGGTGGGTGAACATGTTCATCTTTCCACACGCCGATAAGGTTTCCTTCAGATGGATCATAGTAGGTGATGAAGAAATCTTCGGAGAAAATGGTATCTACATCGAACGTGCAATGATTAATATATACAGTCGGATTATGAATTTTTCAGTGAGAATTATGGTCACAACACTTCTTCCTGGCAATGCTCTTAGAGCTTCTTTTCCTCCATCTGTTGGGGAATTTTCTGAAAAAACTAAAGGCAATGTGACCAGAGAATTGCAAAATTTGTAGCCAATAAACGTACACCTCTCATGGTAAACTTATTCTCATATTTTGCCTATGTTGCTGACCCAGATCGCATTCGCATAGATTATGTTATGTTCAATTCCACAAAAGTAATTGTGCAGGATGGTATTTTTAGCTACTACAATCTTTTCGATGCCATGGTTGATGCATTTAATGCAGCAGTTGAGAAAATCGGTTATGATGACGTGAAAATTTTTGTTGGTAGAACGGGATGGCCAAGTTATGGAAATCCTCCTTTTGCTAATATACAAAATGCACAGACATACAATCGAAGGCTTCGCGATCATATAACAAAATATGGAGACACCAACTATTTTAGCGAACACATTTTTCCACGAAATGTTCAATGAGAACGTGGAGCCAAGTAGAGAAGCGCAGAGCTTTGGGTTTTTAAATCCAGATGTGACACCAGTATATCCTTTTTGGTAGTTTACTCGCAAAAATAATTTCTTGTAAAAATAAAAAAAAAATCACCATTCATCCTATTATAGAAAGATAATTTTTTTGGATACAATTGGTATATTTTTCTTTTGTCTTTTCATTGTTACTATTAATTTTTGTACAATAACGATTGTAACACCCAGGCCCAGCCCATTTGCTTCAAAATGATGCCGTTTTGAAGCTGGGCACCAAAAGCTAAAACAACGTCGTTTTGGGGTTTCACAACACCACGCCGTTTTGATGAAATTAATAAATAAATAAATAAATAAAAAAGATGAGAGACATGTTCGCTCTAGCAGGAGAAGAATAAGAAAAAGCCTGGACCTGCACGCCAGAGAAGAAGGAAGAAGAGGCATGCAGGGCTCCTTTTTTCTCTCGCCTACAAAAGAGATGGAGAAGGAATCGGGAAAGGAGAGAGAGATAGAGCAGATCCCAGACCACGTGAAGAGAGAGAGGATGACGCCGGAGAAGACGAACTGCAGGGCCTACTCGACCGGGTCTGTGCTATGCTTGGAGTAGACGAACAGCGGGGAGGTAGACCTTCGCAATTGGAAACTAGAAAGTCAGAAATAGAACCGCGTGACGGCGTACGTTCGGAGAAAGAGAAGACCCGCGACGACGACCGGTGCACGATTTTGCAGATCCATTGCGGTTTTCGACGAAATTCCACCATATCAGTGCCGGATCTGAGTGCGCGGCATAATTTGTGGTGATTTTCTGTTGATTTGCGGCGGTTCGCGACAGTTCTGACGGAAACTTCGGTGACCCGCAGGTGGCGGCATGCGCCGTGGCGAGTGGTGCCTCTAGCGATCGGGATTGCGTGTTCTATATAAAATCAGTTGCTCTTTCGTTTTGTAATATGACCGGAATTACTCATCGTTTAACACGAGTGTTCCTTATTTATAAACGAGGAAACTCATGTAGTGACAGTTGGAATTTACAGGAGACCGTAGGCCCAAACTAGTTGGAATTCTGACATCTTTCTAATTAAGAATTTAGATAAGAGAATTAGTTAGTCTTATCTATAAATTATTTATATTTTATAAAATTTTATTTTTCTTTAAAAGGAATTATTTATAAACTTTTATAAATTGTTCTAAAGTCTTCTAAAATATTTTCAGGAAACTTATTATGTGTATGGATATTAACTCGTGTGAGTACATCAATAATATATGTAATTAAATGTGTAAAAGTGAATATGTGTGCATGATATGATATATATAGAATTGTAGAAATATGATTTATGTGTATGCATAAATGAGCCTATAAATGTTAAAATATATGCAAATGAATGATTCGTGCATCATGTAAATGAATGATGTATGAATATTGTTATGTATATGTATATGTATTAAATTGTTTATATGGTGTGCATGTATATATGTGTATTAGTTTATGATTAAATAGTTATGAAAGTTAAACTCGAGTATGTGTAAATATTGTATATTTATTATGAGTGAAAATATATAAATATTTAAGTTGTGTAAGTAGATATATCAGAGTAATAAAATTAATTTATAAAATAAAAATATTTAAAAATTTTAAAAATCCATTTAAATAGTATCAGGGGGAAGGGCGCGCATGTGTGTGTGTCCATTTTGGTAAGTGAAGTGTGGTGAACCCTATTTGTAAATGCCACGTTAGCTAGATATGGTTGTGAATGTGGTCTTAGCTAGATGTGATTGTAAAGTCTCACACATAACCTTTCCATTTTCAAATGTCTATAGAAAGTGATAAGTGACACCTAATGTATAACTATGTTGTGTTCAGATTCATTGAGTAAGTAATAACTGATGACAAATGATAAATGATGTATATACATGGTATAAAGAATTCTTAATGCTTTCGTTGATACATGCGGAAATGGTATCACGCGATAAAATTCTTAAAATACATAAAATAAAAAGTATAAATCTTAATAAAAATGTAACTGAAAATTAAAGTGTAACTGAAATGTTGATAAGTAAATATTATAAAGTGAAGCAATATTGATATGTGTAATGATAAGTGATTATGTAATAAGTATAAGTAATTATTAGAAATTGTAAATATAAGTATTATGAAATCAGTTAACGTTATTACAATGAAATTATTTGTTTATGTAAATGTGATGTTAAAATATTCGTAATGTTTAGAAAATTATATGTGAATGAGAGAATTATTAAGATATGTGAAATTATTATTACCGTATTGCTTGAGCATTAGTTTTTTTAAAAAATCTACATCTGTTTTATAAATTTTGTATATTGAGTATGTGCATATATTTGTTAGGGGCATGCTTCTCTTTTTTAAATGAATTCATGAAATCACTCTAATTCACACCTTCCATGACATATTAGTTCATATAAAGAGTATGTTCGAGGTTAAAGAAAGACTTGAAGGAATCATTTAGTGACTTTCTGTATTTTATTTTGTAAAGTATATTTAAACTTATTATAATCGAGTAATTAATTATTTTTGTGAGCCTTAAGATTTGTAGTTTCATAAAAAAAAATATATAGTTTATTTTTAAATTTTTCGATATTGTTGTGCAAATTTATTAGATTTTATATGTGCAGTAACACTTTTTTCTCAGCAGAAACAGCGAATCGTTAAAATGATGGTACGTGTGTCAGTGATAATTTATATGTTTACTATTTATATTATTTATAAAATTTACAAAAAAAATTACAAAAACTGATGATTTAAAATATAAAAAATAAAAATGAATTAAATTAATCAATTTAAAACGTGGTTTCTTTCTCTTTTTGCTTTACAAAAGCGTGGGCTGAAACGGCGCCGTTGTGAGTAGTGGAGCTGGGCTTGGAGACACACGGCGTGGGCTAGCTTGGCTTCTTCCTTTCTTATCGCTTTCTTCCTCATTTTCTCTGTTTGGACTTATTTTTTTGACCTTTTTTCGTTTTCTTTTGGGCTGGGCTCTTCCTCTTCTTTCTTATTTTTCTTATTCTTCATTATTTTTGTTCTTTTTATCTCAAATATAATACTTAAAATAAAATAAAACTTTACAATAGAGGATAGAAAATTGAGATATAACAATAAGCAATGGCATCATATGTACAAATAAGTTTATGTAAGAAGAAAAATAGAGTAAGTAAATGCCAATATTATTTGCTAAAAATGGGGTCGAAGCAAAATATTTAGCCACCCAGACACTCCCATGTCCCGAACCCTATATACAATTGTGTCATATAAAGAGGAGATGATGCTGCTGGAAATTAAACTTTATGATATGATATTTAATATTAATGCTAGATTTTTTTCTTTAGAAATTGAAAGTGAATCGACAACACAAATATTTTTGAAGTTAAAATTTTTTTTTAATATCATCGTTAACGATAGCTGCAAATAGATACAGATACAGACATATTTTATTCTTATTACACAAACTTAAAACTAATTCCCCTCCTCCCTTAAATTCAATAAAAAACATCTAATAAGATTTATATTCACTTGATAAAAAAGGATTGTGTTTCTTGATATTTAAGATATATCTCATTTCTGTAGTATTCTATTGTTGTTACCTGATGACATACAGGTTTCTGAGCGTCTGAGAACAAAAAAGATTGAGATACCAGTAAAGCCAAACAATAGCATTGGCCTCTAATCCCATCAATTGAATTTCCCCTGCTTCTGTATCTTATGAAAGACATCGAAATAATACCATGTAACATGTATATGAAAGATGAATTAAACTGAAAATAAAAAACTTTCTGATTTCCTTTTTCAATTTGTAAAATTGACCAAAAACAAGGTAAGCTTTTTTCATGTAAAACTGAACCCTCTTGAAAGGAGAAAAGGACCAAATACCCAACCCCCAGAAGATGCAAAAATTCCAGCACCTTGACAAAATAACCCTAATCCACTCTCCCACAGACCTTGAAACCTAAAAAATCCCAGTTTTAGGCAGGCTAGATTGGGACACCTGATACTTATTGCACTATTTGCAAACTGCAGAGCTCCAACCAAAACCCACCCCCTTCTTTCATACCAAACTCGTCAGCTTCTTTAAAACAAAAGAGACTAAAAAGGAACTATCTGCCATCAAAAAAATTGAATCCTCTTGGACCTATAATGTGAGAAACAGTAAATCAAGCTTCAGATCCAGAGTCAGATGAGCTCAACTGAGAAGATGCCTCACCCAAACTCGTAGCTTGCATTTCTGACAGCTTTGGCTGCATGCCTCGGCACACTTTCAAAGATGGCTTCAATCTCAGGCACTGCAACAAAGAAGAGTCATGCATAAAAATTGAAGTCAAATTGCATACTCAATGCAATACCAATTATGCATTGTTCTAATTTATTCTGAAGCATGATGCCCCTACCAGAACCCTATTACTTCAACACAGCAATTCATTTCAAAACCTACAAATATAGAAAAGGAAGAGCTTTTACCTCCTGATAAAAAGAATTGATCTCCTCTTCTGTAAGGCCTTCATCATCACCAGCAGCATTTTCATCCCAACCAAGGGATCTTAAGAATTTAACTTCTGCCTCATCTGCATAAACATTAAAGCTTGTATCCTTCTCTTGAACATCATCAAGTCTCTGAACCCCTTCACCATCAGCATCATTGCTAGTAACCTCAGAACCATTCACAGTAGCATGAGGGCTTACAGGAGCACTATTTACTTCCTTTGTTGCTTCAGCTTTCTCCACAATAGGTGCTCCAATACCAGGACCAGAATCAGTAAGACCAGTTGATATGCTTGTCGAGGTTTTCTTCTTTAGGAGGTTAAAGAAATCATTCCTGCTCTGGGTTTGAGACAAGGTTGGCCTCTTCTCCACAGGGAACCCGGATATTGCATTCAATGGTGCCTTCCGCTCCTTTGGGCTGTTTGTGCTCCTTGCAGGAGCAGATGCAACTGAAGGAGTAACAGCAAGCTGGTTATTGCTGATCTGGTGTTTGCAATATTTGCTGGACTAGCAACATCTTTTGGAGAAGGTGAAACACCATTTTCCCAGGCAGGTTTGAGAACTAAAAGCTTCCCAAGAGAAGTCTTTGATGCTTCAGATTTGACATGTCCAACAGGAAGAGATTGATTTGCATGGTGCAAGGAAGAGGACTGCTGCTGCCCACTTTTTGCAGCAGCTACAATTGCCTCACCAGTTCTGACTGCTGATTTGGGTTTCGATTTATCAGAAGAATTAAGAACCTGAAAGAAATTAGGTATTACAACCTTGGTTACACGGTACAATGCCCACATCTAAGAAGCAACAAAGTAACATATTAACATAGACAAACATTTGGGATATGTTTATATGAACTAATGGAACCCAGTTAATTTGGAACGAAAGCTCAACGTCATGCTAACCAGAAAAACTTCAGCCTAGTTGAGTAAAAAGTTCACAAAATTTATCAAGAATGGAAACTTGGAAATAATTGCTGCCAGACAAACAATTTGCTTTTACAAATTTAAAGAAAGGAACGTGAGATGTACACACTATCTACAGCTTCTGATTCTGTACATGCAATGGAGCCAACAATTTTTCATCCATTCTAATCGCAGGAATCTGGTTCATGGAAATATCTCAATCATTTAAAATTCATTTAGAAGTAATTAAAAAAGAAAAAAAAAAAGAACTTTAACTGACTAAACCCCGCACCTTTAGAATCCAAGCACTGTAGGATTGGCATACAAGTACTGACTACACAGTAACTTTTCATTATGATGAGAAAACAGTTAGTCAGCAGCAAAAGTTCCAGCCAATGAAGCTAAACCTTGACGTAAATGGCAGATGAAAATATACAAACATAAAACGTCAAGCTAAAAGCTCAAAACCTGCTTTTGTACGGGAATCCAGATAGAAGCTACCATATAGTAAGAAGCTAGATGCAGATGGTACATCTGACATTTCACAAGGTCACGTACGCTAAGTTCAATTGAAAAATATATATTAACAAAAGAAGCCAAACCAGAATGGCAAAAAACAACTGTGCAAGCTCATCATGTGCATGAATGACCCAAAATGCATGCATATACTCGTGTTTCTTTACGTGTGTGTGCCTGTGTATGAAAAAAAGGGAGGACTACAATGAATCCAAAAGAATATCCATTCCTCACGAAAACAGAGTTGAGAGCCGCAGTTCATAGCAAATGATATAACACACCCCTCTCATCCCAATCAGTCAGCAAAAAATGTTATCTTACAATCCAAATCAGTAAAATCCATTAGGAAAAGGAAAAAAAAAAAAGCTTTTTGCAGATTGTGCTCAGTCAATAATTGGCTAAAATCTAGGTCAACAAAGCCTTTTTCATACACATTGAAGTGAGCTATTCCTTCCATTACTCAAACCTAAGTACAAACTCAGTAACATTTCTAAAATCAAGTTATGAATAGTGGGACAAAAATACCACATATTCTAACTGGCCCCATATTTTTTTTATCCCTAACATCTACCTACTGCAAGGCAACCAGTTTGGCAGCTTCTGATAATTTCCTTCAACCTACTACGTTCCCTGTTGATTGAGCTTCTAATGGACGAGCAAAAAGCGGAAACTTGTATTCCGACAAAGTTTGTTCAGTATTCAGTAAAGATTACTTCCTAAAGTATTGTGAATAAAAAATCTAGGCAGAAATCAAAAGATTACTACATGCTTTTGACCTCTTAAAGTACTTATCTGAAATGAAATCTTAATGTTTTATACTTATCTTTTCACGTTTAGTTGAGTGTTTGCATGCCATCAAATGCAACCACAGAAAAGCTAAATCACAAAGGCACTAAATATAGAATGTATATAATGCCTAAGAAAATGTCAGTCCCGAGACCCCCGAACCTCACAATTCACATTTATTAGCTTGGAGTTTTAATAATTGATATTATACCAAAAGAACAAGACTCATACATTTTATACGTATGCGGTAATATCACCAAAGGAACCATTTGGCAGTTGGAATCTAAACTTCACATTCATGAAGAATTTAGAGCAGCAAATGTTTGCGAAAATTCTAGATATACACACAGTCTTTCATTTTCATAATTTTTGACAAATATATATTATATATAAGATTCAAGAGAAGTAACTGAGATTATAAACATTTAGTCTCCTGATAAGCAAGAAGGGTTTTGTTTTGACCTTTGGAAAAATATATTGCTCATATCATAAAAGAAATAAGACTGATGGCAATTGATATTGGTGATTTTATGTATTTATATACTGAATATTATATTTATGTTTTCCCGACTATGTTTTGATGGGTTTGTAATGCAGGGAATACCAACGGAACTTTCATATAGACCTTCCCTGCATTTTCCAAAAGGCTTGGAAGGAAGAAACTTATAGAAACTAACCAGAAGGATATCACGTCTACTAGCAACAAGCAACTGAGTCAGCTTCAGTACCAGTTAATAACAAAGCATCTTTTTTCTATTAATAACAAAACAACATAAAATTTACCACTGCAATAAATATGTTGCTGAATTTAGTTAGCCATCACCAAATAATATGGAAAAAATATTTAATCAAAGATCAGTAACCAGTAATAATAAAACCCGATAAGAAAATAAGAAGTAAACCATTTGCAGCATCGACCCAAAAACCATTAACCAGCTATTTAAGAAATTAAATATCAGATGTACAGATATGTGAACAAACATTAGGTCTCTATTATCTCTTTCGTGATTCAGCATGCAGAACCCTTGTATCATGACATGATTGGCTAAAATGTTTGCGTATAGACACAAACACCTAAAACATGATTAGCTAAAGTGTGCTATATAAACAGGGCAAACATATAAAAACACGAGCGGCAGAACTGATAGTGGATATGACAAAGTAAACATAAAATAGCTTCCTTTTGGGTATTAAAATTTTTTTACTCTAACCTTCTATTAAAAATAAAAATAACCAAAAAAAAAACTTTTACTCTTCTCTCTCTTGTACGTTTCAAGTATCTTCTGTATAATACGCATAACTTTCTTTCTAAAAGAGTTTGTATTACTTCCATTTTCTTTCTGACCAATGAGATCAAAAAAGTAATATGGGGCCAAATTTTTTTATAACTGAGGAGTTCTACCCATTCTGGGGTCAAGCAGTTGAGTCAAACCCTTTGGGCTATAACTCCATTACCATTACGAAGGAAAAAAAATGATTTTTTTTGAGTGGGGTCAATTTATAGCGACGATCCCCTGACTCACTCATAATTAATGATGAGTAGCACAGACATAAATCTAAGAAATAAAGGTAGGTAAATAAATAAACAAACAGAAACGTGCACATGCATGCAATCTATGCATCCATATAAAGAATATAATTAACCGAAATCCCAAAGTTAACCTGCCAGATACGTCAAAAAATTAGTTTACATGACAGATATCACTAAAAGCCTTTGCACCTCTAATCCAGAAATTAAAAGCAGAATCTTACCGAACCCTTGGGCATTAATGGTGTAACTGGAATCAATTGCCTGGATTGCTTAATGGCCAATTCCTCAAGTCTCTGCGTCTTGACAGATGTCTAAAAATAAAAATCAAATTAGACCGACCACAAGTATATATCACTAAGCTATTATAAGACAGATAAATGGAATGAGTACCTGAGGAGGAGTACGAGTTCGTGCTGGAGCATGTGCTAATGCTTCAGCCATATTAAGACTAGTCATTCCACTTGATGCCCCAGATTGTGAGGAAGAAGGAACAATTTGTAGTGCAGAAAAAGATGCCATTGAAGTACTTCCAATGACATTGGGCACCTCTGCCAAAGCTGATGTCCATCCCTCCCCACCAATTAAAGCAGACTTGCCAACAGGCAAGCTCTGAACAGCTGAGCTCAAACCAGGAGATGAAACTCTTGCTATATCAGGTAATCCTGGTCTATCATCACTTCCTAAAGAAGGAAAATCCTTTTCAAAAACAACTTTCTGTAGGCTACCACCAATACTTGGCCCAGAAAGCAAACCATTTCCATTGCTATGATTACTGTTACCACCATTTTTTAAGTCTCCGGCAGCCCTACGAGGCAAAACCTCCCCCTGCTTTCTGGACATCATGGAATGAGATCGGCGCAATGTATCCTTCTCCCTATTGATTAACATACTGCCTATAGAGTCAGAAGAGTCACGGTCCCAGTGGTCCCCATACATTGACCTATCCTTCTCCCTTTCGCGATCCTTGTCACGGTGACTCCTATTGAAACTACTATAGGCATGTTTAGCAGAACCGTTACTAGAACTCCTTCGTGAATTTGAAGAAGACGTCCGTTCCAGAAAAGGGGAACGAGGGGAATCAATATCTCCTATGCTCTTAGAATTTCTATTCCTCAAGGGATGTACCAGTGAAGGAACATCTATATAACAACAAAATAATGCAATCAACGTATGCATGAGACCCAGAACCAAGCATCTTTTAAAGAATTAAACATAATTAAAAGTAACATATGACAAAACATTAGCTGCAAGAGCAGCAGGATCTCACTGGTGCCAGTTCTCTCTTATGGGTTGACATCGGGTTTTTGACGTCCCCATTTCAAGCCCAGTTAGACCAGCAAAATGGAAGAACACAATGCAGAAGAGAAAAGTAAATGACAATTGGGAATAACTTGGAAAATTAATTGTACCTGCATGAGAAGAAGATGATGCTGAGTGGGGGACTGAACTTCCACCCCCTGTAACACTTCCAGCACTTCTCAACCATTCTGGAACTAATGTGGGTTCACTTCTTTCCATAAGGAACGCTGAACATCATCAAATATAAGAAGAAGAACACTTCTCTAGCCTTCTTCACCCCCTCTCCAGTAAAATTATTCTCTCTCTATATATATACAAGATCCCTAAGTTTTAATCTGGCCCTGCTCTCTTCCTCCTAGTCACAAATATTTCCTCCCAATCACCAATTTAACAATTGACAAATCCACTGAGCCCCGACTAACCAATTTACCCAGCACACTCGGGTCTGTTTATAACAAATTCTAATGATTTCGATTCACTTAAGACGCATAGAATTTATATCAACCGCAATACCGATATAAAAGAAGCAGAGTTTGATACATGTTCAAAACCAGACGAAGCAGACAAAGATAATGGCAAGAAAAATTGCATAACAATCAGGTACAAGTCAAGAAGTGATATGAATGGAGAAGAGGTCCTTCTCTACGCCTCCATCTTTCACAAAGATGGATTTGCAGACGAAAAGAAAAAAAAGACTCACTCTAGAAGACCCTCATCCCGGTGCAGAAAAAGGACATATGCAAAAGGAATTGCCGTGATTGTGGCAAAAAAGCAAGAAATACCCGCGATTCTTACAAAAGAGTTCGCACACGTAAACCAGTTCAATCAGGAAAACCCTAAAGGGACCACAACAAATCAGTGTGCGAAACACTGGAACACGATGAATTGTTTAAAAACAGAAACCCTAGAACACAAACAAATACATAGTCATATATCGTTGTATATCTAAATGTCAAGTCATAGGGTTTGCAGGAGCACAAAATCTGTTCAACATAATAGAAAGAAAATTCTAGAGACGAAACGTGATAAAAAAGACTACGACGAGATAACGGAGAAAAAGGACGAGCGAAGAGGCAAACAGGGAACTAACCCTAAGTCGCTACAATTCCTGGCTATGCCCCAAAAATAACCGTTTGATAACCGCTCAGTATATTCCTCAATCAAAACAATGCGTTTCTCTCAGAGAAGGAAAAGGGAGTTCCAGTGCATAGACAGAGAGGCACGGCAAGAGATACAGATTGATACAGAGAACGAAAGAGAGACAGAGAGATAGGGAAGGAGAGACAGGAGGAGATTTCCAGATGGAATGGGATTTTTCGTTTATGTGATGCAAATTAGGGTTTTGTTTTTGTGTTGTCGATAGAGTGGGAGAGAGGCGTAATTTTCTGTTAGTTTTGGATACTGAAACGTATGAAAGAACACAGCCCTCTTTTCTTCTTAAGAAATCAATATTGTTTTCTTTCGTTATATATATATATATATATAAATATTGAATTTTCTTCACTCTGTGTATTTATTTTTATATTTATATTTTTTAACATCAATTAATAAAAAGCCCGTGTTTATCAAATTAGTTTTTTCTTTTTCCTTTTTTTTTTTTATTTTAATGGTGTGGTAGATAAAAAGCCATACCAATTTATACATGACTGCTTACGTCTATTATCATTATTGTTATTATTATTATATTTTCCCTGATATTGATTTTTATATGTTAGTATAGAAATTAATCCAACATCTTTAATTACATTATTTTAGAAAGTTATTGGTAAAATTAATCCAAAATAATTTTAAAAGTTAAATTTTTTAACATTTGTATACAAAATAATTAACTATATCTTGTATATTTAAAAATAAATTTAAAACTTATATGAAACTTATTACAAATTTATATAATTTAATGAAAATTAACATTTATTATTTTAGTTTAAGTAAAATTGTATATAAAATTATATCATTTTATTAAAAAAAATTATAATTTCGTTCAAAAAAAGTATAAAATATAAATAAATTTTGCAAGATTTTTGAATTTCTTTTTCATATATATTTACATGTTTGATTTAACTAATCTATGTCAACATATTAAAATTATATAGAAATTACTTTCAATAAAAAATTTATTTTTTATATAGAATTCGATAATAATATTGTTGAGAAAAAAAATAACATAGTATTTTATAAACTCTACTGTTAAATAAGGTTTTATAAACTTGTTTTTTTTTTTTTGCCACAATAGTAAAACATATTTTACATGTTGAAATATCAAAATGCCAATGTTAAGATAAAATAAACCAATAAAATCAACATATTTGTGCTGGTATATCCATTTACAAGAGTAAATGTTATGGTAATTATACCACTAAAAGTTTTATAAACTATATTCTTAAAAAATAATTCACATTATCATGATCATCTCTTTATTTTTTTTTTTGTTTATATTTTACATGACATATATCATTTTATAAATTAAAAATTTATATTACAACAAAATAATAAAACTTAAATAATTATTTGACTATTATTGAAATAATAATTTTTTTAATATAAAATATATATATATCAATTATAAACGTAATATAAATAATTTATAAATAATGATAAACATAACCTTATTTAAATTTATGACCTATTTTAGATGAAGAAACCTATCGATCATTCAACAAAATAATTGTTGATCGAAATAATAGTTACAATAT